GTCCTTCCAGAAAGCTCCATCGCAAGCCTCCGTCAGAAAAGATAAAGTTTGAGTTTTCAGTCATTTGTCTATACACAAAGCTTCTGTGCTCAGACGTAAAGATAAGATGCCCCTCCTACTTCTAGAAAGTGGGAAGGAGGATAAAAGGGGCAGCCTGATCGTTCCGTGTCTGTGCTCCGCAGGCAGCAGTAGGGCTACCTCTCCTCACACACAACAGGCTCGCTTCTCTCCTCTAGACCTACTCGAATGCTATTGGCATACAGATAATTAAAGAAATTGTACTTTATGATATCAAAGTCAATAATCGTGCCTAAAACCATTACCCTACTCCACCTCCCTCCCCCCCCCAAAAAATGTATCCAAGAGAGTGTAAGGCAAGGGGAGTACTGGAAAGGGAAGTCACACAGCAAAAAAAAAAAAAATCCTTGGCTCTGGTAAAAAGCTGCTCTGTTCATTTACCCGGATGCCCCAAACAAAAGCCACTGCCCATTTCTCTGTTTCAGTTTCCTGGATCTAGCTGGATCACAGACTGCCATCCATTGTCCCTGGCTCACAGAACAATGTCCAGTAGCAAAGACCCATCCATTCAGGGACCCATCCAAAAAGTTAGGAAAGAATAAAGAATACAAGACTGCCCTTCCGCACACACTGACCCAGCACTGTGCAGTCATCATGGGCAGACCTGCAGGCGGGAGGCAGTCAGTACCTCTGCGCTGATACAGGCTCCAGCTGGTCCAGAAACACGCTACACTGCGTGTGGACACACTGAGCAGCATGCTCTGCTTGTATCTGTGTCTCCTAACATTTGACACTGCTTCACAGAGTCCACAGTCCCAAAGGGGCCAGCAGTGCCCCTAAACATCTTCCAGGCCAGGACACTAGCAAAACATGAAGTGCAGAGGCCAAAGCCATCCGTACTGGGGAGGTGAGCTCTGCTTCTAGATCCTAGCAGCCAGGACCATCTTTTCCTTGCATTTTGGGCACGCCTCAGAGGATGGCAGCTGCTAACTTAGGGGGGAAAAAGTGCATGGTGGAGGAGGTAAAAGGATTATTTTTAAGAAAGAGCACAATCTAACTTTTCTCTCCACCACCCACTCCACGCCACCTCCTCATTCCCTTGTCTCTCCTCCTGCCTGTTCCTCCACCTCACTTTTCTCCCCAGCCTTGCTCTCCCCATTGCTCAGTGTGGCACCATCACACACACACACACACACATTTTTCCCCTGTATCCCTAGCGGGGACACCAGTCCTGACACCACACTGAGAACAGGAGCCATGCGAAGACACAGGGCTGCTGAGCTTAGGAGGGATTTGAAGCTGGCTAGCTTCATCCTTACAGCTCCAAACGTGTAAGGCTCGAACACATAGCAACTTCTTAGGAACCCGATCTTGATGCCAGAAGTGATGGGAAAGAGAAAAGGTAGCTCTATTCTGAGCTAAATGAACCTGTTAGCTATGTCATCTTCCCAGTGTGTCTAAATGCTGGGAAATCTCTGGCTGATTCCCTTTCAAACTGATGCTGAATATTCTGTTCTGGGCTCCTTAACAGTGGCTTCTAAGCAGAGTGGCCTGGCCTCTGTGTCCAGTGATGAGCATCTGGACGTACAGATGATGAATACGTGTACCCCGTGCATCGGTTTCTTCCCATCACCTACAACCAAAAGGCACGACTACACACTTGGGAGTCATCTTCCCGGAACAAAACACCGTTCTGGAAATAGCTGAAATAATGAGGTGTTTTCCGAAGTAGAACAATCGAAAGTCAGGGTGAGCGAGATTTTTGCATGGTGGCGGAGGGAGTTTAGACAGAGAGATGATGTGTTAGGATAGGACGCAAGAAAATCACCTTGATTTTCACTTAGAATGTGGGAGAGACTTAGAACTCTAAAAGCAATGATTGTGTTCTTCCGCATTAGTAACCAGTCATTCAAATATTCTTCAGTGAGCATGTACTAAATATGCTCTGGATCGGGCACAGCTCTAGGGAGTCATAATAAATGAACAAGACACACTGCACCCTTGCCTGCAGTCATGGAACTTACACTCTAGCATTCACTCCATACAAAACTGTATGCTGAAGAAACCTGGCAGCTGTGTCGTGAAGGAAACAGAGGGGGGCAGAGGAACCCTAACACTGAGGAAGCAGCATTAGAGGAGCCAGAACCGCCTGTCTGAAGAGGCGGCATCTTAAGAATGGAAGATGAAGAAAGGGGAGAGCCAAGGGAGATAAGAATGGTACGGCCATCCCAGGAAGCTGGGATTGCACGTGCAAAGGCTCGGGAGTAGGGAACAGCTCGGAAGCAAGGGTCCATAACAGCAGCATGATTACAAGATGGCACAATGCACAACAGGAAGGATGCTGGGTGCCAGGATGCACAGCACGGAGGCTGCTCTAAGGCCATCAGCACAGGAGGGACATGGCCCAGCTCGTGACCACCATGACCAAATGCTGCCTCGAGTGGAGAAAGACTTCAAAAGCAAAGCAAGACATGACAGCAGCCTGGGCCAAAGCAGAGCAGCCAAGTTGAAAACCGGACCAAGTCAGACGGAGTTTAGATGTACGACCAACAGAAAGCGCTGCCGGACTGCGCATGGAAGTGAAAGCAGAGAAGGACTCGGAGATGCCTCTCATCAAGCTACTATTTATCTGTGAATTGCTTAAGGGTTTTTTTTTCCCTCAAGACACAATTACTGCGTGATTCCCAGGCAGCATGCTTGGCACCTCGTCTTCAGGACATGACAGGTTGTATAGATGCAAGGAGCTTAGAAGGCCTAGATATAAAACATGGCTGCCCATGAGAGACAACAACAGAACAAGAGGCAGGCTTTCCATGCATTTTCTCATAAAGATGTTGGCACACTGGTGCCAGTCTTTCTGTATTTGGATGCTCTCATGCTGAAGCAGAGAAACTGATGACACAATTTCTAAGAGGACCTAGAGGACCTCTGCACCAAATCAGATAACTAAACCTAAAAAAAATCTAATGGCTAAAATGAGGGAAAGAGGTTTTAAAAAATCCTCCGACCAGGCTAGTATTCATTTGGTGCTCATCTGACATGCATGGAATCCTCAGATCAGCCTACAGCATCATACGAACCAGGGCAGGCCTATAATCCCAGCTCAGGATATAGAGACACAAGGATCAGAAGTTCAAAGTCATCTTTGGCTAAACAGCAAGCTAACAACCAACACTCATCAGTTGGTCCATAGCATGCTTACACATTTTTCGACAGTGTGCCCAGGAAGGTTCATGCAATGTTCAAACCGCTCCCCAAATGCCACAGCAACAGCATTCCATGACTAACACACATTCGACTGAGCCTCTTTCTGAGCCACCCATTCCTAATTACCTGGGTGTTACTAGCACCATTGGCACAGCCTTTCCAAAAGCGCTGGCACATCATTATCACCTCTAATTTCCTGGGCACTTCTGTTTCGGTAAGGGCATCTCCTCCTTTCTAATATAGACAGGGTGACACACTCTTGTTATTAACTAAAGAGTAAGAGATGCCCTCAAAAGAGGGAGAAAAGAGAAGGGGAGGGGAGGGAGAGAGGGAGAGAGAAGGAAGAGGGCCAAAGGAGGTGAGGAGAGAGAAAAAAATGGAGAAGAGAGAAGGGGAAGAGAGGGAATCTCTCACACGAACACAGCAGAGGCCCTCTTTGATACTGGCTGGTGCCATGCCAAAACAGACAGTAAACAGTGAGAAACCAGAGTAACCTATTTGGAGTAGAATATTATCTTTTTTCTTCAAGCTGCTAGTCGTAACCCTCTTTATATGCATTTCAAGGATATTATTTTAGGAGATATATCAAGGAGAATGCTTTTAAAACGAGTTACCCTGGCATTCCCGTGAGGAGAGCGCCGCTTCAGTCTCCTGTCCTCTAACCCCGCCTACGGCTCACACCCGCCCTACTCCCTTTTCAGACTAGAAGGCCATTCCCAAAGGCTCCAACACTTCAGATTAATTCAGGGTCCCATCTGGGTCGCTCCTCTTCCGGCTTCCTAAGCCACCTGCTTCGTTCCGGGGCTGAGCCTATGAGAGATCCACATCGCTACGCTTCACACCCTCTTTAATTTAATGCTGCGAACTCACTTTTCAACACCCCTGGGCTGTTCATTCTGATTCGGCCTGTCATCACCTGCAGTGACTGAACTTGATCTTTATCTGTGCCGCCCATAATGCATTCTATGGCAGGGTCTGGGCTTCTGCTGAAGCGCTCTGCCAGCAGGAAAGCTGTCGCTAAGTTCGTCTTCTCCAGGAGTCTTCCCCACACCTGGCACGTGTTCGCGCCGTCCGGATCCACTCCCATTCCAGACACAAGGCCCCCGTATGTCAAAGAGTGGCCACACTCAACAAACACAGAGCAGCATAGACCCAGGCCGAAACCCCGAAACCCGTGGTCTACTTGTCCCCTGAGTCCGAGGGTGTCCTTTGATCCCCTGCCATTCCGTCTTAGTGCTTTATACAATGTAGGAAATCCACGACGGCCGACCTTCCGAGAGCTGTGTCACTCAGCATTCCTCTCTGCACTGTGTAATGCCCCCTCTGACGTGCCTTTTTGAATCACTGACCCGGCCCACAATCCGGATGGATGTCACCTGTGACTGTGACATCTGCACGGTGAACATACACACACATATGCCCTCATCCTGCCTGTCTTGGCAGAACTGATTTCCAAGCAGAACCAACCTCAAGAGCCTCTAACTGTTGATTGCTATGGTTAAACACTGTATCATCTGTGAAACGCTGCCCTGCCTCACGTCTCGGGACGTACAAGTGCCATCTGCGCCCACACTTGGCTTTCATCTTTCCACCATCAACTCAGAATCTTCCACATGAGCTCTGAGATATCAGCTTGTCAGGACCAGGAGCATGTCTACAGGCGTTACCCACGAGACAGAGCACCCCGGATTCCTGACCCCCTCTGCATTGGCCACGAGAGTCTGGAAGGCTTCTTCCCGACGATGAGTGCGGCGCACAGAATACTGGATACTCACTGAGCGGCTTGAGGATGCTGCTGCTGGACTCATCGGCGTTTTCCACGTCGGATTTGTCTGAGTAGTTCTCAGAGACTCTTTCCTTTTCCTTCTTTTCCTTGTGCCCTGCCTTTCTCTTGTGACGTCTCCTTCTCCGGTAGCTCTTGGGCACATGGACCCCAATGTAGATGGTGTGGTGGCCTAAGGAAAGTAGACAAGCCCGAAAGTCATTTCAAGTCACGGTATCTCCATACATAAACCACACAACAACCACAGGCCAGATAAGCCTACGAGCCTGACATTATCATTCAGTATTTGGCTCACTCAAACAACTAAATTCTTGAAACATAGAATTCCTTTTCAAATTTTACTTGGCTACTGTATAATTCCACCCATTGGCTGGCACTTGGTTCTGTCCCCACAGGCTTCAGCCAGAGATTAAGAAAAGTCAATAAATACCGAACTAGAAATCAAGAGATCTTCATTGTTCTCACACATCTGTCATCCGGTCTGTACATCACCTTCAATGCACTCCTTCTGTTCATTTGGTTTTTGTTTTTGTTTATTGAGACAGGGTCTCATGCGGCCTTGGCTGACCTTAACTCGATAAGGAACAGAGGATGACTTTGAACTTCTGGACCTACTGCCTCCATCTCCCAAGTTCTGGGATTCCAGGTGTGCAGCATCCTGCCCAGATTATCCTCTGCTAGAATCCAGGGCTGCACATACTCTAGGCAAACACCAATGAGCTAAATAAATTACCAGCCCTTTAACTCTTGGAGCCTCGGCCTCATCTTTTTATACCAGGAGGGGCTTATGTTGCGCAACCCCTAGAGGTCTGCCCTGCTCTAGTTTTTCATGACCTGTGGTTAGAGTGACTAGAATGAAGGGAAAAAGGAGCTTCATTCTTTCTGAGCTACAAAAATAAAGATCAAAAGTTCAAAAAGTCATTCTGCTGGGGATAAGGTTTTACACGGTAACTTTTTTTTTATCCAATCAGCAGAAGAGAGACTGAGAACCGGGACAAACCGAGAAGAATAAGACATACTTAGAGAGGGGATTTTAGAAGCACTCGGATGTTCACACTGGGAAGCGCTGAAATGAATGTCAGCCACCGTGCCATTCTCATTTTTCTCTTTCCGTTTCCAGAAGTTTCTAAAAACTGGTTGTTGGGATGATAAAAATAAGATTGATCCCAGCAAAAAAAAAAAAAAAAAAAACTGCCTTGAAGAGAAGGGCATGAGAAAAACAGCTCTAGCGGCTTGCAGGCCTCCGAAGGGAAGGCACTTCAGACTGACAAGCACTATCATTTTACAGAATCAGAGGGGATGGAAAAGGAACTCAGAGTCCCACATCTCTCTCTTTTTAATTGAAAACTTTTCCTTTCACTTTATATAGAGGGTAAGAGCCGAATGTGGGAATCATCATTTCGGATGTGATCTGAACACCCTTTTATTGCAAATTAGATTAGGTTATCCCGTCTAAGTGCTTCATTTCCCATTTCTAGAATTATTCTTTGATGGTACTTTACAGTTCCCAGAGACAATATCACATACTACCATGTAACTCAGCCTCCTGAGTATCAATTGCTCTGAACCACTTTCCCTGGAACTCACCAGGCAACCCTAAAAACACCATAATTCATGAGATTTCCCTTAAATTGACAGCTTAAATGAATCATACTCCGCTTCAAGAAAAAGACTCCAACTATGGAAGAAAGAACTCTCGGGGGTAGTATGTCACAGAAAACTCCCGATGCCTGGAAAAGAAGTTGGAGCATCTGCACCCAAAGCAGGGCCCCCAACCCCCGCCATTAACACACAAAGACCACAGCTTGCTACTACAAAGCACAGCGAACAGTCTCCCCACAGAACGTGTGCCAATGAGAAATCTATCAAAACTAACCATTCACAAATAAATTGTTCTCATGGGAAAGCCGTATTATACTAGGAAACAGGAAATGTCTCAGAAACAATGTGAACCAAGAAACAGTGTCAATTGTTTCCTGTGCTCCCCTTACTAAGGGAGTCCTTGCGGGTTTATCTCAAGTCTCAGCAATACAAGTCAGCAGAGCCTTTCGGAAATGCCTCACACCACACACACACACACACACACACACACACACACACAAGTGATTCAAAATTCTAAAATGTTATGGTAAATGTTTTCTGCACATTATTAAATAATAGTCACAAGAAAAATGCTAATTAATGTATGTTATAGCCATGCCAGTGTGATGCAGTAAGGTTTACTATATGAACTCAAGCCTGCATAGTACATTGGATCGAGTCATTTAGACAACTATATGGGCTGACAGGATTTAAAGGTAAGATTTCTGACTATAAAATATTGTTTTCTGAAGCACGATTAATAAAAACTCAGAAACAAGATATTGGTGTTCAAGCTGAAGACCAGAAAAGCACAGCAGCCACTGGCTCTTACCTCGACCTCAGCCCGAAAATGGCGATCCTGCCTCCAGGAAACCTCAAAATGAGAATGAGCCTAAGAGTTGTCTCCTCCCGTTTTATAATCCTCTCTAGGTCTGGGATTAAAGGCAGGCACCACTACCGCGGGGTTTCTATGGCAAGCTAGTGTGGCTACTGGGATTAAAGGTGTGTGTCATTGCTGACTGGTCTGTAAGGATGGCCAGTGTCGCTGTTTTGCTTTTCTGATCTCCAGTCAAGCCTTATTTATTAAAATACAAATGAATGGCACTACAGTTTTGAAACTAATGAATAAGTTACAGTGATTCAGACAGACGGCCTTCAAGCTCTGCAGAGAGATGGGCCTGAGTTTCAGAGCCTAGTTAGAGTTGTCACAATCGTAGACATGGTACCCTTCTTCTCGTTTGGTGTCTGCAGCACTACCCCTGTGGCAGCTTGCCTGCATCCCTCAGTCTCCTCCGTGCACACCTTCCCTGCTCTGGTCATAGGTAAGGAAGCCTTCAGATATGACGCTGCCCTTCAGAGTCTACAGCACCCCTCTGGCCAAGGGGGTTCCTTTAGCAGCATCACAAACATCAGGCATTTTTATTGGTTTATTAAGATGTAATTTGTAAAAATTCACTCTTTTTTAAGATTTTAATTCGATGACTTTCTGTAGCGTTGCACAAACATCACCATCATCCAATTTTAGAACCGTCCTACCAATCCACGGAGCACTCTCGGGGCCATCTGCAGCCACACTCGGTTCCCGCTACCAGCTCATACACCCACTCTTACACATTCTGCATACTCTGGGAAATATCATCTGGGAGCCGTGGTCCTCCAGAGCCCACATGGCTATGAACGTTGTGAGGATCCTTCCAACACGGTAAAATAAGATATTCCCAGTCAGGAAGATGCTGCCTCCCAAGAAATGCCCAGGGAATCAAGTCCCTGAGCCGACCACAGAATCAGCATCCTCATCCTCTTCTTCCTCCCACATCTTACTGGAACCTAAATCTCCCCCTTTGGCCTTATATTTTCATAAAGAAATGTGAGTCTGGGTAAGGTAGATCTCATTGGGAGCTTAGAGACAGCGCTTATTACCTCATTAATTAATTATAGTCTCTTCCCTACTTCAACTTCGTTGCCCACAAAAGGAGGCAAGCAAGATAGGAATGTGTTGGAGGGCTGGTAAGATGGGCATGCTTTTACACAGGGAAGACCAAATATTAATACACTATAATGTCAAGCAACCAAAGCCCCCAAAAGCAACATGAGCTGAGACAGAAATGTTCACACTGCCCCCACAAAACTCCTGTGGGCAAGATGAACAGAATCTACACTACCGCTGGAAAGACTCTATTGTTGGTGGGAACATCGCAGGTGGATATCAGTGTTTATGTTCAATGAAGTAGCTTTATCTGTCTCAGAACTATGTCATGATGACTGATGGAAGCTCGTGAGGAAGCTACACGGGGGGAGGGTGTAGCTATTATTCTACAGGTAAAAGAAAAGGAGGAACTTGTCAGAGAAGCCTTCCCACCCAAGAGTCTACAAAACAGTGCAATGCTAGGCTTAAAAAACCTCTCTGCCACCAATTCCATAAAAATTGCTTCAAAGAATAATGGGGAAATAAAGAATAAAACTTTCAATTTTTTTCATTTTTAATTTAAAGTTTTAATTCAGAAAGAGGGTATAAATGTCTAATATATTAAAATCCAGCACACATTTATTATTCTAGTCAGACCAATAAAATGAAAATACTGAAGCCTACATGTGACAGTGTTCATTTAGGTGTATCGTCACGGGGCATCGTGTCTTCAACCTGGCAGGGACCTCGGCACTGTGTGTTCAAATAAATACTGTACATGCCTCTCTCTGACAGATGGTGGGAGTCCCCAACACATTCCAAGTGTCTCAGGAATACTTCACAATCCACACTACAGCCAGGACTTCTGGAGAGAAAACACAGCTCTGCTGGCTACCTCTGAATGTCAACATCATCACTACCAACGAGCCTTGCTTCTTCCTGTCTTTACCTGTTCTGCCCTCATTACAACCAGGAAGCTCTGTGGAGCAGCCACTCCCCCATCTCCCCATTTCTGCCAAGCCGCTGGGCTAACTGTACACTTCTGATCATTGCTACAACGTTTCCAGGGCAGCCAGTCAACCCTTACACTTAGCAACTCTATAGCCATTCAAGTGAATGTGGCTGCTTTCGCAGATACTACTTCCCTAGGATGATTCAGAAGTTGGAAGAATCAAACAATCTCTCAAGCCAGAAATTAAAAATTCACCAGCCAAATTAAAGCGTCTATGGATGACAGCTAGCAACCTATATCTCTGCATGCAGGATGGGACGATTATCGCTCGTGCCTGGGAAACACGGTGCGGCGTGCATATGCACAGATGCAGCAAACATTCGCCAAAACCTTCTAAGCCTGTTCATCGCTGCCACATGCTTCTCCGGCTCTCCATATGATCCTGCTACTAACCTCACATACGGGTGAAGAAACCAATGTCTGAGGAGTCAGGGATGCTGAAACCAAGAAGCAGATGCCCTCTTCAGAAAATCCCACAAGAGAAAGTTCCTTAGGCGTCAATGTCAGCATGACCTGAATGTCAGCTCTGATGAGATTTTGTTTAAAATATACCTTCACAGTGTTGAGACCATGCTTGCTGGGTAAGGCATGGCTCCATGTGCCTATAACCGCCCACTAAGGAGCGGCAGGATCGATGGAAACAGGATGGGGGCGACTGCTAGTCGGTCAGGCT